TTTCCTCCAATATCTGGCTGTGATTCTTCAAACTCCCATTTCCAATTTTCCTTCCACTTTTCAGACGAAATCACTAAACAAGGGTTCCCAAAGCCCTCCAAGCTGGAGTTGGACAACCTCATGTAAATTTCAGGGGACAACCCTTGTGCCTGATGTGTGGGCCACTCAGGGAGTTCCTCAAAACACTTGATGTCATCACCAAAGACATTCAAACTCTACACCAGGAAAATATTCTTTGAGCTCAAATTTTGAATAATCTAAATTGACAGCTCTCTGGACGCAGAGACCAAGTTTATAGTATGTTCTAGCCATTCACCTTTGTCTTTTTGGGAGTGGTGGTGCTGGCCTGTAAGGGGATGCGAACCCTTGACCTTGGTGTTAGAACACCGTGCTCTAACCAACTGAGCTAACCGGCCAGCCCCAATTTTATTTTTCTTTTGTTTAGCTAGTTTAATTCATGGGGGCCCTGGTTAAGAGGCATACTCCGAACTCTTAGTATCATCCACCTGATAGTAATGACTCCCTGTTGCTTTGTATTCTCTCAAAAGGTCTCAAATGCCTGTATGCAGCCATCCAACGAACACCAAATGTTTTTTCTCCAGATAGAACCACAAAAATTTGGAGAAACGCAGGATAACAAGGACATCATAACCTATGAATGACATGTTGAGATGAAAAACTCAGAATAATGCTGACTGAGAATAGTGTTGATGCCGTAGGAAAGAGCCTGGCCAAAAGGGAAGATTTGTTAAATAAAATTTATGGGGCTGGCTGGTTAGCTCAGTTGGTTAGAGAGCAGTGTTATAACACCAAGGGGTCAAGGGTTCTGATCCCCATACTAATCAGCTGCCACAAAGAAAATAATTAAAAAATAAAACAAATAAAATAAAAATAAATGGATGGAAGGCAATGATTTGGTCTGAGCTCCTGTACTAGGCTGCAACAGATCAAACCAAAATGGAGTCACTCGTGCTCAAGTTCCAACTCTCCAAACCTAACATAAGTTGTTTATCTGACCTGTTGAGAAATCAGGAGAGATGATAGTCAAATCCCCAAACAGGCCAGTTTCAGCTGGCATGATAAGCATGTCCCCCGTGCTTTAACTCTTACAAAAATAGTAACTTGAAGTAACCTGATTTTAACCAATCTGATTTTTGTATCATGCTGTTTCCTTGTTCCTATTCCAGCTACTTTATAAAAGCCTGCCCTGATGCCATGCCCAGCAGCATGCCTTTTCTAAATCTTCAGATGAAATGCTGCCCAATTCATGAACTGCTAATAAAAGCTAAGTAGATCTTTAATTTTGTTGAAATTTTGTCTTTTGACAGAAGAAGGGAAGAAATGAGCATTCTTTTTTTTTTTTTTTGTCTTTTTCCGTGTCCGGCAACGGATCGCAACCCTCAGTGTCGCCCCCGTTCCGGGCCGGGACCGGCAACGGGATCGCAGCCCTCGGTGTTGCCCCTGCGCCTCGCTCAGCCAGTGAGCGGGAACCGGTCTGTATGTGGGATCCGAAACCTCGGCGGGAGCGCCGCCGCGCTTCCCAAGCGGCGCACTATAGCAGTGCGCCACCGGGCCGGCCCCCTTTTTTTTTTTTTTTCCCTTTTTTGAGACTGGCCGCACCATGCTCAGCCAGTGAGCGCACCAGCCATCCCTATATAGGATCCGAACCCGCGGCGGGAGTGCCACTGCGCTCCCAGCGAGTGCATCATGGGCTCGGCCCAGAAATGAGCATTCTTGACAAAGCACTTTAAGGAGATAAAGACTTGTAGAAAACTAGTTACCCATAGACATTAGTTGACTCTCAATTGACTGTCAGTCAAGAGGCTAGTGGCATTTAAGGAAATATCCTATTTATTTTTAAATTTTATTTATTTTTTAAAGATGACTGGTAAGGGGATCTTAACCCTTGACTTGGTGGTGTCAGCACCACGCTCTCCCAAGTGAGCCATGTGCCGGCCCTGAAATATCCTTTTTTAAAATCAAGTCTGACAATGATTATCTATTTCCTTTTCCTATAAAGCATCCATTGTAAAAATGGACTAAGTAGGGTCTTTCCTTTGCATGCAGTGTTGTTACATAGCTTTAATATTTGTTCATAACTAAATCTGTCAAAAAGTCTTATCTAGGGCTGAGCCCATGGCGCACTCGGGAGAGTGCGGCGCTGAGAGCGCAGCAGTGCTCCCGCTGCGGGTTCGGATCCTATGTAGGGATGACCGGTGCACTCACTGGCTGAGTGCGGTGCAGCCAGTCTCAAAAAGAACAACAACAACAAAAAAAGTCTTATCTAATAAATGTGTGGCTTGGTACCCAAGTCCAGCTCCCAATGACAGAACAGAAACATCCCCAAAGTCAAATTGTTGGTGAAATAGGAAGTCAGTTTTATTCAGGGATACTGGTAATCTGAGGGAGATGTTAGGCTAAACTGAAGGAGATGGCCAGACTAAAACCATCTCCTAGACTCACATTTACTAAAGAGTTTTTAAGGAGGAGGTTGAGGGAATGGGAAGCAGGAGGAGGAGACATGAGCTGCAGGGACTATGTGTAAGGGGCCAGGTGCAAATTCTTGTCAAGGCTCTGTCTGGTTTCTGTTCTCATCCTTGACATTATCTTAGGGTCCTGCAGGATTTTGATTTGTTTCAGGGGGGGATCAGCATAGCTTTATTTTTTTGTTCTGTATTTTTGGCGACTGGTTGGTATGGAGATCTGAACCCTTGACCTTGGTGTTACGACACCACACTATAACCAACTGAGCAAACTGGCCAGCCCCAGCATAACTTTACTGATATTTTCCCTGGTTTCTCAGGGTCTGGATAGTACTCGTCTCACAGCAAGTATGCAGCTCCAGGCTGACTGGAAAACAACTTTATGTAAATAATGTCAACCTGCCCCATAACCAAGGATCAAAATATCATATAACCATGAGAAGAGGGAACCCAAAGAAATGTGTGCTAAGCTGCAGCTCCAGGCTGACTGGAAAACAACTTTATGTAAATAATGTCAACCTGCCCCACAACCAAGGATCAAAATATCATATAACCATGAGAAGAGGGAACCCAAAGAAATGTGTGCTAAGAAAAAAAACTGGGTTTTTTGTTTTGTTTTGTTTTTTATTTTCCTACAGCCCAGGAAGTTTTAGGTCCCAACATGGTATCAGTTCTTCTCACTCCAACATGTGTACACTGTGTATTTATATATGGTAATCACACAATAGTGAGATATTAAAGATCTTTCCAGTTTACATTTCTGTAATGGCTACATTTAATGTATCATACACGGGGTATCTTGAAATTAATTTCAATCAAATAATTAAATTGGCCTTATGAGAAATAATCAAAGGACTACCACAGCAATTTTTTCTTATCTTTTATTCATAGGTTTTAATGATAATACTCTTATTGGGGCATGTTTTCATCCTAAAGGAAACGGGAATGTCTGAATCAATATTTTAACTCTATCACCACTTCAAGCCAAGACAAAAGTCCCTTGCAAACCATCAGAGATTGCTCTAAAGAGCAATACAAATGAGTAACTGTTTCATTTAAACCAAGAATTTATGCACTGGCCAGCCACAAATACATACATAAAAATAAACAATTTATTTAGAGCATAGGGACAAAATTATTAATAATTAACTACTTAAGACTTTCCCTTCTATCTCCTCCAAGGATAGATGCTTTGCCCTTAGGGCAGCTATTACACCCAGTCTTTTGTTTCCTGATTGGGATGGTAATAGGAAAGAGTAGGTTGGTTACCATATTTTGAATCAAACTGGTATTTTGCCACAAGAAGGCTCATTTTATTAAAAACAAGCAAACAAAAAAACCCAGGGTTGATCATAAGAAAAAGCAATCCTGACTCATAGGAAGGTCGGATAACTGGGCAGGACTGCTATAAAAGTTATCAAAAGTTGCTGTACAGATGTAAAAGTCTTCAAGGTTGCTGAACTAAAATACTCTTACACACTCATAAAGGTCCTGCATTCTACTATTTTTGCAGATGTAATTCAGGTAAGGACATCAAGGTGAAATCTTCTTGGATTAGGATGGGTCCTAAATCTAATGAATGGTGTCCTTATAAGAGACTGAAAAGGACACACAGAGACACAGGGACAAAGGTCATGTGAAGATGAGATCAAAGACTGGAGTTGTGCTGCCACAATGAAGGAAGATTAGAGCTACCAGAAGCTGGAAGAGGTAAGGAAGTATTTTTCCCTAAATCCTTTTGAGAGAGTGTGACCCTGCTAACACTTTGATTTCAAACTTCTGGCCTCCAGAACTTTGACTGTAAGAGAATAAATTTCTATTGTTTTAAACCAAAAAAAAAAAAAAAGCTATAGCATTAAAAAAAAAAAAAAGAATATTGCTATTTTATGATCCACTCAAATGACTGCATCAGATGGTCAAATACTGCAAAAACCCATCCCAGATTTTCCTAAAATCCATTATCAGAGAATTGTGATAACTACATGCAAAAGGGAAGCTGCACTGTTGTGCTAAATGCTTGCATAATCACAGTGATATAACACAAATGATGTTGTAATCCAATGCCATAATAATTCAAGTTAACATCTCACTCTTTGCTCTCACCCCCCAACCCCCATCTCCTCCCAATCTACTTAAAGGTACTAGAAAACAATCTCACTAGAAAACTTATCATCGCCATGTAGTTTTATAAAATATGATCAATGTTTTGGGAGACATGGCCTACAAGGAAAGTTGAAGATCAGGTTTTCCAAGCAGTTGTTTTACTAGACTGAACTGGTCTAACCCCAAACAACAGAAGTATTAAAAAAAAAAAAAAAAACCTATCAATATTTATTATGCCAAAGTCAACCATCCAGACAATTAAATAGTATATTTAATACAACAAAAATCTTTTATAAACACAATGTTTTATTTTAAAATTCTATCTTCTTAAAAATTAATCAGTCCTATCAATATTTATTATGCCAAAGTCAACCTTCCAGACAATTAAATAGTATATTTAATACAATAAAAATCTTTTATAAACACAATGTTTTATTTTAAAATTCTATCTTCTTAAAAATTAATCAGTAAGTGTCTTGGTAACCATACCAACAAATTTATTGTTACAAAGGCAAGCATAATTCAGTGACAAAAATATACATATAATTAAATCATGTTTTAATATGAAGAAGTAAAGAATTAAAATAGATTATTATTTCGATTTATTCAGAAATGATTCAAGTCAAACATTTCATTATCTATAGATTTATAACATTTTGTCCTCAACAGAATCAGAATGCTAAACAGAAAGCGATTCTGCACAATCATCCATAAAATGTACAAACATTCCTAATGCTTCCAGCTATTTCTGAAAAACTTAAAACAATGTCTAATACAATACCTAGTTGCTTCTAGTAGTCCTTAAGATTTTAGTTCTGTTCCTTGAATTATATTCCGAATCTTCTCAGCATCATTTTGCACAATTTTGTTGGATGGATCAATCTTAAGTGCAGCTTCATAATCCTGTAGGCCTATATTTATATAGCAATGATGATCAATAAAATAAATATTTTATAAGTACTTGTCTTACTTAGACAATATATTTCAAAAATAAAAATAACCACTAAGAACATGGTTCAGAATAAGTACTAGGTTATAAACCAGATTCTCATCTTCACACTTCTGATAGTGTCTCTATGAGATTACAGAATTTTTCAGTAATTTCAGGAATAATTATAATTTCATTCAGGGTTCAGTAAGAAGCACTTATTTGAAATTCTAGCACAAATAAGCTAACAGCCTAATCTCACTAAACTGTGAATAGACTCAATAAAATATATATGTGCAAAGGACATTTTTGTCACTTCAGTAAAAAAGTAATAAATGGCATCTTATTTAGAAATTCTCAATTTTTAAAAATAATTTTTTTAGACTCAGCCCATACTTTATTTATTTTTTAGTTTGTTTGTTTTGTTTTTGGTGGTTGGCCAGCACAGCGATCTGAACCCTTGACCCTGGTGTTATAACACTGTGCTCTAACCAACTGAGCTAACAGGGCCAGCACATCCATACTTTATATAATTCATAGACTGAGACATAGCATGTATTTTTTTCTATAGTTATCACATCTACACAGTCTTTGAGGAAAATTGGTTAAAAACGAAAGCAATATGAACTGCTTTTTAAAAATATGTAACTGAATCTCAATCTTTATCCAAAAAAAGCAGTAGGAATGTTATTTCTTTTGGTAGTAAGGAAACCTGATTTCTAGTTCCTCAAGTGCCATTGATTTGCTATGCCATTTTAGGCAAATCACTTAACTTCTCCAAGTGTTCTTTTTTTTTTTTTTTTTTTTTTTCCTTTTTGAGACCGGCCGCACCGCGCTCAGCCAGTGAGTGCTGTGAGTGCACCAGTCATCCCTATATAGGATCCGAACCCGCGACGGGAGCGCTGCCACACTCCCAGCGCCGCACCCTCCCGAATGCGCCACGGGCTCAGCCCCAAGTGTTCATTTTCTTGTCTTTAAAATGAGGGGTCCTTAGAGCTGGCCCGTGGCTCACTCAGGAGAGTGTGGTGCTGATAACACCAAGGCCACGGGTTCAGATCCCATATAGGGATGGCTGGTTAGCTCACTG